CTCACTGCAACCTCTGCCTCTTAGATGAAAGTAATTATCTTGCTTCAGCCTCCCATGTAGCTGGAATTACAGGCATCTGCCACCATGCCCAGCTAATTTTTTTTGTATTTTTAGAGACAGGGTTTAACCATGTTGGCCAAGTTGGGCTCAAAAACTCATTACTTCAGGTGAGCCATCCACCTTGACCTCCCACGAAAGAAAGGAAAAAAGAGAAAGAGAGGAAAGAATGAATGAAAGAAAAGAAAGAGAGAAAGGAAGGAAAAAAAGAAAAAAAGAAAGAGACAGAAAGAAAAGAAGAAAGAGGGGAAAGCAAGGAATGAAGGAAAGGAAAAGAAGTGGGGGAAGGAAAGGAAGAAGGAAAAGAAGGAAAGAAGAAGAAAGGGAAGTGGAAGTGTAAGAAAGATGGAAAGAGAATGGAAGAAAAGAGAGAGAAAGAAAGAATGAAAGAGAAAGGAAGGAAGGATACAAAAAGAAAGACATAAAGAAAGAAAGGAAGCAGAGAAAGAAAGAGGAAAGAAGGAAGGAAGAGGAAAGAAGTTGGGGAATGAAGGAAGGGAGGAAAGGAAGGAGGAGGGCAGGAAGGAGAAAGGGAAGTGTAAGTGCAAAGGGAAGGGAGGAAAAAGAAAGGAAGAAAGAGAAAGAAGGAAAAAAGAAAAAAAAAAAGGAAGAAAGGAAGGAAAGAAAAAGAAAGGAGAGAAGTGGGGAAAGGAAGGGAGGGAGGAAGGGAAAAGGAAGGAGGGAAGGAAAGAAAGAAGGAAGGAGAAGGGGAAGTGGAAGGGGAAGGGAAGGGAGGAAGAGAAAAAGAAAGAGAAAGAAAGGAAGGAAGGAAGAAAGGAAAAAGAAAATAAGGAAAAAAAGAGGAGAGAAGTAGGGGAAGGGAGGGAGGGAAGAAAGGAAGGAAGGAAGGAAGGGAGGGAGAGAGGGGTGTGTCACTAAGGTCAGGTGGAAAAGGTTTGGGCTAGGCTGGGAGGCAGGAGGTGGAAGTAAGCAAGGAAGGAGAGGAATGGAAGCAGGGAGACACTTGAGGAAAGGCAAGAGGAGGATCGAGCAGCAGGAAGGTGCCAGGGTCTGAGCTGGGAGATAGGTGATGCCCTGTGGAGCCCCCATGTTGGGGCTGCTCTGAGGGTGTGGCTGCAAGTGAGTAGTAGAGGGTGACTGTGTGGCCTCTAGTACTGAGGAGAAAGGGGTTGACAAGACTGGTGGTGGGAAGAGTCACTGGTGGGGTGGGGGAGTCCAGAGAGAGGGGCCCAAGGCCTAGAGAGGAGCAGCTCTCTGCCTCTGGTCTCTCATACTCTTTTCTGCACAGCTGTTCTGGGACATTCCATGACTGGGGGAGTTCATGACTCTCCTCACCACAGCTCCTCATACCCAGCCCCCTTAGCGGACTGAGACCCTCACTACAAGCCTGGCCCAAGTGCCCAGAGTCACTCCCTCCTCCCCTCCTACCTCCCTGCCCTGCAGTCAGGGGCTCATGGTGGTCTGGGATCCCCCAGTACATGCTGGCACTTGCCTTATTTTGAGACAGAGTTTCACTCTTGTTGACCAGGCTGGAGTTTGGAGGCAAAATCTCGGCTCATTGCAACCTCTGCCTTCTAGGTTCAAGCATTCAAGCAACTCTCCTGCTTCAGCCTCATGAGTAGTTGGGATTACAGGTACCCACCACCACCACACCCGGCTAATTTTTGTACTCTTTGTAGAGACAGGGTTTCACCATGTTGGTCAGACTGGTCTCGAACTCCTGACCTCGTAATCCTGCTGCCTCAGCCTCTCAATGTGCTGAAATTACAGGTGTGAGCCACCAATCCCGGATAATTTTTTATATTTTTTTAGTAGAGCCAGGGTTTCACCATGCTGGACAGGTTGGTCTTGAACTCCTGACTTCAGATGATCCACCTCCCAAAGTGCTGAGATTACAGGTGTGAGACACTGCGCCCAGCTTTTGTTTTTGTTTTTCCTGAGATAGAGTCTCACTCTGTTGCCCAGGCTGGCATGCGGGGTATGATCCTGGCTCACTACACCCTCCACCTCCTAGGTTCAAGCAATTGTCTTGCCTCAGCCTCCCTAGTAGCTGGGATTACAGCCTCACAGCACCATGCCCAGCTCATTTTTGTATTTCTAGTTTCACCACGTTGGCCAGGCTGCTCTCCAACTCCTGACCTCAGTGATCCTCCTACCGTGGCCTCCCCAAGAGCTGGGAGTACAGGCATAGGCCACTGTTCCTGGCCATACTTGGTGGTCTTTAATGAACACCCTCTGGGTGAGTGAGTGCCCACTGGGAGCTGCCAGGCCCACCCCGTGTCTGTGGGGACTGCTCGTCCCCCACCACCTGCTGAGTTAGCTGAGCTTGTGTTCTTTCCCTTTTCTCCAGCTCTCTAGAGACTTCATAAAGACCCTGTTCCCTACCCACCAGCCTGGGGCACAAGAATCCACTCTCCAGTGTCCCTCACCTCTGGGACTTATTTATTGGTTTGGTGGTTTTCACATGTCAGCAATTAATTTCCAGCTCATCACTGTTGCGATGACAGTGCATGTCCTTCTGGAAAAAACATGTCTCCATCAACACCTTGGTGCTGAAGGACCTGAGGGGCCCACTCTAAAGATCCATTAATTGCCAGAGAAGGAGTTTCCCATAATTAGAAAATCATATTCCTTAAAATTCCCCAAGTGCCTTTTCACTGAACAGCCCAAACCATAGTCGTTTTACACTTTGCAGAAAATTACAATACGAGGCTCTCCCATACCCACATCACCCACACACTGAGGGAGCAGGTCCAGGACATTTTCAATAGGAAATACAGTGAGCAGTGGAACACCCCTGTGGGAGGGACACGCAGACACTGTGGACAGAGAAGTGGGAGGCTTCCCACTTTCAGCCGAAACTATTCACTCCCTTACACATATTTCTTGAGGATTTACTAAATGCCAGGCATGTCTCAGGCACTGGGGATACTGCGGTGAATGAAACAGGAACTGTACTCATGAGCCTTGCACCTGGGCAACATGGCAAAACCCCGTCTCAACCAAAAATACAAATATATTAGCCAGGTGCAGTGGTGCACTCCTGTGGTCCCAGATACTCAGGGGGGTGAGGCAGGAGAATTGCTTGAGCCTGGGAAGTGGAGGTTGCAGTGAACTGAGATCACACCATTGCACTCCAGCCTGAGCAAACAGAAGTGAAACTGTATCCAAAAAAAAAAAAAAAAAAGCCTGGGCTTGGTGGCTCACACCTACAATCCCAGCACTTTTGGAGGCTGAGGTGGGCAGATCATGAGATCAGGAGTTCAAGACCAGCCTGGTCAACTTAATGAAACTCCCTCTTTACTAAAAATACAAAAAATTAGCTGAGTGTCGTGGTGGCCACCTGTAATCCCAGCTACTCAGGAGGCTGAGGCAGGAAAATCGCTTGAACCTGGTAGGCAGAGGTTGCAGTGAGTTGAGATCGCCCTACTGCACTTTAGCCTGGACAACAGAGTGAAACTGTCGTAAAAAAAAAAAAAAAAAAAAAAAAAAGAGGAGCATAGGACATGGTAGCATGTTGGTGTGGCTTCTTCTTTCTTTTTTCCTTTCAGATAGTCTCTCTGTCACCCATGCTCGAGTGCAGTGGTGTGATCATGGTTCACTATAGCATCAAACTCCTGGGCTCAAGCAATCCTCAGCCTCCCAAGCGGCTGGGAACCACAGGCATGCACCACCATGCCCAGCTTTTTATAAGAAATTCTTAGGAGAGACAGGGTCTTGCTATGTCCCCCAGGCTGAACTCAAACTCTTAGACTCAAGTGGTCCTCCCGCCTTGGCCTCCCACAATGCTGGGATTACAGGCATGAGTCACCATGCTGGCCTATTTTTTTATTTTCTGATCAAATAGCTCAGATTGTAATGCCTATACGTTTCCACGGTGCTACAACACTTTCGCATCGTTCACTCTTCTGCATGGATGCCTTTCCATCACATGCGTGAAATCCCATGTACACACGCCCCACACTGCCTCTCACTGCCTCTCACCCACAGGGGAAGCCTTGGGCATCAGGTACCCGGTCCAAGTGCCCTCCAAGTGATAAGAGTAACCCCTGCCCCATAATCATCGAGGGGCTGCTCCCAGAAATCCTGTTCTGAAAACCATGCACCTTGGAGCTATCGCTCCAGCCTGCTCCCCCAACACTCTGGCCGCCCTCCCTCCTACCACTCCAGCCCGCTTTCCTACCGCTCCAGCTGTCTTCCTACCGCTCCCGCCGCCCTCCTACCCCTCCAGCCCGCTCCCCAACCCCTCCGGTCGCCCTCCTACTGATCCAACCCACTCCCCTAAGACTCCGGCCACCCTCCTACCGCTCCAGCCCACTCCCCTCTGACTGTGGCCTCCCTGCTACCACTCCAGCCTGCTCCCCTAGGACTCCGGCCGCCCTCCTACCACTCCGGCTGCCCTCCTAACCCACCAGCCCGCTCCCCTACCTCTCTGGCCACCCTCCTACCGCTCCAGACCGCTCCCCTAGGATTCCGGCTGCCCTCCTACCGCTCCAGCTGCACTCCTACCGCGCCAACCTGCTCCCCTACCACTCCAACGGCCCTCCTACCGCTCCAACCCGCTCCCCTACTGCTCTGGCTGCACTCCCACTGCTCCAGCCCGCTCCCCTACCTCTCCGACCACCCTCCTACCACTCCAGCCCGCTCCCCTAGGACTCCGGCTGCGCTCCTACCGCTCCAGCCCGCTCCCCTACCGCTCCAACCGCACTCCTGCCGCTCCCGCCACCCTCCTACCGCTCCAGCCCGCTCCCCTACCGCTCCAACCGTGCTCCTACCACTCCGGCCACCCTCGTACCGCTCCAGCCCGCTGCTCCCCTACCTCCCCATCCGCCCTCCTACCGCTCCAGCCCACTCCCCTACCTCTCCGACCACCCTCCTACCGCTCCAGCCCGCTCCCCTACCGCTCCAGCCCGCTCCCCTACCTCTCCGACCACCCTCCTACCCTCCAGCCCTCTCCCCTACCGCTCCGGTCGCCCTCCTACCGCTCCAGCCGCTGCAGTTTCCATCACCACCACCCACTGCAGCGAGGCCAGCCACGATACCGCAGGCTGCAGCCTCCAGCGTGCAGTAGGTGGCTCTGTCGCCCCTTCTCCTGGTCCTCTAAGCCGGGAACACAGTGGCTCCTCAAGAACATACACAAGAGGCTGGAACTGTGAGGCGTCCTCAGCATGCCTTATATACTGAGGATTTTGCTCATGGTTCCTGCATGTTCTCATTGGATGAGAGGAAACCTTTAGGCCTACTCTGATTGGATTTTATTTTCATGCTCTTATTGGTTGTCCTCAGACTTGTTTTCATCCAATGAGACCGTGTAGTTCAGGAACCTCTGTGCATAACCTCAGTATATAAATGGCTCTGTTGGGCAGGCACTCCATTCCAGGCTTTTCTGTGTCCATTAGCTGTGCTGCTAGGTGCCGGGCTTAGAGGAGTAGAAGACGGGAGAGCCAGCTGCCGCCTGCTGGAAGCTGGAGTCTGCACTGCGGTTCGGTTCGCCTTGCTGCAGCTCACCTCACTGTGGTTGGCGGTAGCCATGGAGTCATGCCCCTGGAGCGGTAGGAGGGGAAACGAGTTTGGAGCGAGGTGGGAGGGCTAAGGAGGGTGGTTATTGCCAAAGGGACAAAGAGGATGGCGAACAGGATAAGATGTTGAAAAAAGACGGTGAGGAAAAGATGGTGGGAAAACTATTTTGGGGTAGATGGAAGGGGAAAATAGAGTGGCAAGTGAGAGGAGGAATGAGAGGATGGTGAGGGGGGAAGCAGGGGGTGAGCAGGAGGGAGAAAGGTCTGAAAAAATACGGGAGGAAAGAAGACGGTGCGTAAAAAGATTTTGGGCAGATGCAGAAGGGAAGAGGGAGACAAGTGGGAGAAGGAAAGGTGATGCAACGAGGGAGGGGGAAGAGAAAGTGGGAAAGCAGGAGGGAGAGAAGGTTTTGCGAAAAGAAGGGGAGAAAATGTTTTAGGTGAATGAAGAGGGAAAAGGGGGTAGCGAGTGGGGAGGAGAAAAGGTTTTGCGAATAGACGATGGGCAGGAAAGAAAGACAGTGCAGAAAGAAAAGACAGTGGATAAAGTGGATAGATGGAGGGAGAAGAGGGTGGCGAGTGGGAAGAGAAAAGAGGGGGTGGCCAGAGGGAGTGCAGAAAGAGGGATTGGAAAAAGAAGATGGGAAAAATAGCGTAGAGGGCAAAAGAGGTGGCAAGCAGGATAAGGGGAAGAAGAGGGTGAGTGGGAAGTGGGGAAGGCTTTGCAAAAAAGATGGTGAGGAAATGTTTTGGGATAGATGGAGAAGGGAAAGAGGGTGGCAAGAAGGAAGGGGGAAAAGACGATGGGGCAGTTTTGGGAAGATGAAGGGGGAGAAGTGGGTGCTGAGCAGGAGTGGTGAGAAGGCTTTGGTAAAAGATGAGGAAAATGTTTTTCTGTAGATAGAGGAGAAAATGGGATGAGAGTGAGGAGGGGAAGAGGGTAGGAAAGAAAGGAAAAAAACACAGTGGGGGAAAACGGTGTAGAAAAGTTTTGGGGTAGATGGGTGGGGAAAACTGTAGTGAGCAAGAGAGTAGAGAAGTCTTTGTGAAATGACAGTGGGGAAAAATGTGGAAAAAGTTTTGGGGTAGATGGAGAAAGAAAAAGGCTGGCGAGAGGGAGGGGCCAAAGGCTGTTGGGATTGGGAAAAGAAGATGGAAAAATAATGCTGGGGGACAAAGGGTTTGGGTAGATCTTTTTCTGATTTTTAAATAAGGTTCTTTGTATTTTTTGCTTTGGAGAAGTTTGAATTCTTTATATGTTTTCTGTATTAGCCGCTTGCCTGATGGCATAATTTGCAAATTCTTCCATATTCTGAATTTTCTTCATTCCGATTGCTTCCTCTACTTTGCAGAAGCTTCTATGTTTAATGCAATTGCATTTGATGCTTTTTGCTTTTGTTGCTTGTGCTTTTGATGTGTATTTGAAAATTCCTTGTCCTAACCAATTTCATGAAGGATTTATACTGTTTTCTTCTCTAGTAGTTTTATGGTCGCAGGTCCTACATTTAAATGGTTATTTTGAGTAGATTTTTGTATTTGGTAAGATAACGGTCTAGATTTATTCTTGACCGTTTATTATGTATGTGTTGTGTTTTCCTAGCACAGTTTATTGAAGAGACTGTCCGTTCCAAAGGTGTGTTTGGTGCCTTTGCTAAAATGAGTTGACTTTAAATGCATGAATTTATTTCTGAGTTCTCTATTCTGTTTCATTTGTATATGTCTGTCATTCCGCTATGTCTGTGTGTCTCTGTCTCTCCCTTGCCCCTTTTATGGCCAGTACCATGCTGTTTTTGTTACTGAAGATTTATAATACATTTTAAAATCAGGTATTGTGATGTTTTCAGCTTTTTTCTTTTTGTTCATGATTCTTTTATCTATCTGAGATATTTTGCATTTCTATGTGAATTTTAGGATTTTTTTCTGTTTCCATGAAGAATGTCTTTTGTAATTTCACATGGATTGCATTGATTCTGCAGATCACATTGGGTGATAGATATTTTGATGTATTGTTCTAGTGCTTGGACATGGGCGATCTTTCCATTTACACGTGTCTGTTTTGATATCTTGTCTCTTTTATCATTTTTATTGTGGGATCTTCCAACTTTTTTGTTATGTTTAGGTATCTTTTTAGGTGGTAGAAGTAATGAAACAAAAACAGCTTTCTTGAATTATGAAGAAATGTTGAATTTTATTTTTTTCAACATTACTGAAATGATGATATAGTTTTTCTTGATTTGCTGAATGTGGTGTGGCACATTTACTTATTTGGATTTATTGAATTACCCTCATATTTCTCAGATGAATCCCTCTAAATCATGGCAGATGATCTGCTTATTGTCTTGTCAAATGCAGTTTTCAAATAGTTGGTTGAGGATTTTTTGCATCTGTGTTTATCAGGGATATTTGCCTGTGGTTTGCTTTTTTGTGTTGTGTTTTGGTCTGGTTTTTGTACCAGGGCTGGCCTCATAGGACAAGTTTGGAAGTGTTCCTTCCTCTTTATTTTTGGGGAATATTTTGAGTATATTTGGTATTAGCTCTTTTAAAAATGTTTCATTGAATTCAGTAGTAAAACCATGATTCTTGTGCTTTTCTTTGATGGGAGACTTTTTATTACTACTTTAATTGCATTACCCATAATTGGTCTGTTCTATGTTTCTTATTTTTCTATGATTCTCTCCACACCAGCCAAGGGAAGCAGCGGAGGTGCCAGCAAGTGGCCACACTAGCTGCTGCCCTTCTCTCTGGCCACTCACACATCTGGTTCATCTCAGTATCCCCAGGTGTCATGTGGGGGGCAGAGTATAGCCTTCCCTGGCCTAGGAATGCACCAACACCGGGCTCCAGGGTGAGCCCATAGTTGGGTCTGCAGCTAGAACTTCAGGGAAGGAGAGGACCCTGACCTCTTACTTCCTGGTTCCGGTGGTGAGGTTCCAGGAGTGTGGCCAGAGTGGGCCCACTCAATGTTGTGTAATAACAGGACAGAGAAGACAGCAGCCTTCAACACTTCACATGAAAATGTGGCATAAGAACCACTGATCAATCCAGTCTTGGCCAGAAAGGCATTGCCATTGTTGAGGGAGCCACTGTCTGAGTGCCTGTAGCTATGTATGTATGAAATATATACATACATATAATGCTGTTTGGCTTATGGTGTCTAAAATATTTACCATCTAACTTGTCATAAGAAATGTTTGCCTCTCCCAGTGCTACCTGCTTATGGTTGTGCATGACCCTATAAAGATTTAACCACTTTTAATGACAATAAACAATATTAGCTACCATTTACTGAGGGTCAGAAATGTTAAGTAACTTGTCTAAGGTCACACAGCTAATAAGTGGCATAGTGGGATCTTGCAGTGACAGTTTGGAGGGAGAAGAGAATAAGTGATAGACTTGATTACTGCCATGCAGATGCAGGTGGCCCCCTGGACTTCAGCTTCTCCAGGTCTGTGCATGACTCCAAAACTGCCAGGCAGCTCTGTGACCCCAATCTCTCCTCATGAGGTTGCTCTGGGATGACTGCCAAAGCTGCTTTTTAATAAAAATCCTCATGAGAACACTGTGGCCAGAGCTTCTATGTTTCTGGCGTTTTCCTTCCTGTGGGGCCGCCCAGCCTCAGCCCTTCTTTTGTAACTTGGCTAACTCCTTTCTGGTTTCCTCCTAGACTTTACCTTGTGGGTTCACAGGGGAGACTACTGTTGCTAAACCCTGCTGAGCGTCGTTTCTGGTGGGCAGAATTGACAAGCCACCTGCTTCTTCACTACTCCTGACTCATCTCTGCAGAGCAGACACACCTCACTTTTTGGGCATCATTGAAGAATGTTCTGGTAAGTACGTTTCTCAGGAATCAAAGCTTAGTGCTCAGAACACTCAACTGTAGAAATTTGGAATTATTTTGCACATTAAATCTTTTTTTTGAGATGGAGTATTACTCTTATTGCCAAGGCTGGAGTGCAGTGGCACAATCGCAGCTCACTGCAAACTCTGCCTCCCGGCTTCAAGCAATTTTCTTGTGCTAGCCTCCTGAGTAGCTGGGATTATAGGTGCCTGCCACCACACCCAGCTAAGTTTTACATTTTCGGTAAAGATAGAGTTTCACCATGTTGGTCAGGCTGGTCTTGAACTCCTGAGCTCAGGTGATCCACCTGCCTTGGCTTCACAAATTGCTGGGTCTGTGCTATGGCCAGGTCCAAGACAGGACCCAACCAAGTCTAGGGTGATGGCCAGGGCAGGGTCAAACCTAGGGTGTGGCCTAGACAGAGACAAGGCAGGCAGAGCAGGGCCGGGGTGATGCCAAGGCAAGGGAAAGGACAGAGAATGGCCAGGGCAGTGCCAGAACAAGGGTAAGGACAGTGCAGCTTCATGGCATGGCAAGAGTCCAGGGAAATGGTCAGGGCCATAGCAGCACTGGCAACAGGGCTGGGTCTAGGACAGTGATAGCCAGGGTCAGGGCCAGAGTAGTGCAAGACCAGGGTAATTCCAGGCATTTCAGGGTCAGGACAGGATCAGGACCAGGACAGAACCAGGTAAGTCCTTAAGCAGGGAAAAGCCAGGGATGAAGTCTAGGGTAGGGTCAGGTCAGGGCCATAACAGAGGGGCAAAGCTAGGAAAGTACCTG